TAACCACTTCCCCACCGCCACATATGCAGTTACTGCAGGATTATAAAGGGTACGGGAGCATTTATATGGGAGCAAAAGACAGATAGGAACTGCTGTTCTGTCTGGGGTTTGGAATGCATCATTACAGTGGTCTAATTAGGCTATATTTCAAGCAGATTCAGAAACTAGAATTAAAGCAATTCTACAGGAGGAAATGAGTGGTTTTCATGCAAAGTTTCTACCCTGTGCTTTTCCAGCAGGCTGTGAAGGCTTGTGTAGCCTTTGATCCTAACTGGAGAAGCCCCGGAAAGGAGGGCCTGGAGAAGTGGCTTCCTTGACATCCCTCCTGACAGAGCTGTCCCCTTGACCTCTGACCTCTTGAGCAACCTCACCTGTGGCTCTGATGGTAGGCGGGTCTCAGGAGGGCTCCAGGGGCTGGGCAGCTGCACCAATCAGCTCAGACTCTCCTGTATCCCCTCGGTGGGACCCACGACTGCACAGGAGATGGAAGGCAGATGCAGCCAACCCTGTGCAGGCACCACAACCTTCTGGAATGTTCTGTCCTCAGTGTCTTTAGTCATGATAGCCAGCCACACACAAGTCTACATCGGAAGAAAATCACCAGTGAGGAAGGCAGTAACCAAGACCCTGTTAATTCATTTGCTTTTGCTGATTGGTTCAGCTGTGAATTCAGCTTGTTTTCCTTGGGACCGAGGATGAGTTGACAGCATAGATAGTTTACTGCACGACCATTAGTGGTGATTGTTTTTGCCCATGTGGTTTTTCACTAGCTCTCACTGCAGTCAGTCACACATTCCCTGTTCTCTGTTTCCAGGACAGGGAGGGACCTCTTGTCCTTGGTGATGGAGATGCCTGTCCATCTGTTTTAGAGAAGGACTGTCCTTGTCCCCCCATGCTGGCTTTCCATGGGAGGCCTATTTACACACAGACAGTCACGGTGAAGGAGAGAAAAGACCCTGCCTTTATCGCCTGAGCACCTAGATCCAGCCATACCTGAAGGAAAACCCTATACTTTTCAGTTAAGTGGGCAAATTAACTCCTTTTTTTAAGCCAGTTTAAATTTGGTTCTGTCACTGACAAGCAGAGGCCTAACTGATAACCCAGCTCTGTCCCTCACACCCCAGCTTCAGTCTTCCTAGCCTGAAAACATTTGGAACAGAGAAATAAGGGGGCCATGGAGAGTCAGGTTCTGAACTCTGTGGTCATTACCACCTTCCTGCCACATCAGTGGACTGATATTTTGGAAATGCCATTTCCACCAAAGCCTTTATAGCATCCTGTCGCCCACAGGTCCCACGACCTGAAGACCACTCCCCGGAACTTCCATTCTGCTCTGATGAACCACCAAGTGACCACCAGCCCTCTGCTTTTCCTGATCTGATCCTTCCCCACCCCCTTCTCCAAGCCTTTGCTCTGGTGATGGCGCTGCTCCCTCCCAGCTGTACTTAGCCCCATGAAGGCAGATGCTCCCTTCCTGTCCTTGGTTTCTTGGCTCCTAGCAGAGCCCTGAGCCCTCATAAATGTTTGTAATGATGGTATATCAATAACCACTTCCCCACCGCCACATATGCAGTTACTGCAGGATTATAAAGGGTACGGGAGCATTTATATGGGAGCAAAAGACAGATAGGAACTGCTGTTCTGTCTGGGGTTTGGAATGCATCATTACAGTGGTCTAATTAGGCTATATTTCAAGCAGATTCAGAAACTAGAATTAAAGCAATTCTACAGGAGGAAATGAGTGGTTTTCATGCAAAGTTTCTACCCTGTGCTTTTCCAGCAGGCTGTGAAGGCTTGTGTAGCCTTTGATCCTAACTGGAGAAGCCCCGGAAAGGAGGGCCTGGAGAAGTGGCTTCCTTGACATCCCTCCTGACAGAGCTGTCCCCTTGACCTCTGACCTCTTGAGCAACCTCACCTGTGGCTCTGATGGTAGGCGGGTCTCAGGAGGGCTCCAGGGGCTGGGCAGCTGCACCAATCAGCTCAGACTCTCCTGTATCCCCTCGGTGGGACCCACGACTGCACAGGAGATGGAAGGCAGATGCAGCCAACCCTGTGCAGGCACCACAACCTTCTGGAATGTTCTGTCCTCAGTGTCTTTAGTCATGATAGCCAGCCACACACAAGTCTACATCGGAAGAAAATCACCAGTGAGGAAGGCAGTAACCAAGACTCTGTTAATTCATTTGCTTTTGCTGATTGGTTCAGCTGTGAATTCAGCTTGTTTTCCTTGGGACCGAGGATGAGTTGACAGCATAGATAGTTTACTGCACGACCATTAGTGGTGATTGTTTTTGCCCATGTGGTTTTTCACTTGGGTTTATTTTTACAACTAGCATAGCATACCTGATTCATTTTCGGAGGGACACTGACCTTTAGGTAATTGAGTACACAATCTAACGAGTCATTTCTTAATAGTCATTTTGATCTGTCATGCTTTTTGAAAATTAAGAACAAATTCTAAGAGGCTTTTAACCTAAGAGACAACTTTTATGACAAATTATTTGGGAACACGAATTCTGAACTTTTAAGTTTAGCAAGAAAAAAGCTAATGTTCACTTTCTATCTTAACTTGGACTCCGAGCTATGCTAGAAATCTTGATCCAATTTCTGTAAAATGAATATTTTTCTTTTTCTCCTAGTTGTGATGTTTCCACCTCTCAGATGAGATTAGCACGAGCCCCTGAGAGGTGCCGCGTCCTCTGTGAGCTCTTCCTGCCCAGGACCAGGGACCACTCAGACTCACCTGCTCTCCCAGGGGCTGGGGCAGAGTTCACTTCCTGCCAAGTCACCTTTGCAAGGATTGCTGCCAGCCTTGCCCTCTGAGCCTGTGCTCAAAGCCTAACTGCCCTGAGAGCTGATTAGTGTGAAAAACTAGGATTCTGAAATGTCTGGGAATTCTGCTGGGAAGACCAGGTACCATCTAGAAACAGGGAGAAGTTGCACATCACCCACAAATCAGGGCCTGTCCTGTGGCCCCTGCTGGCCCAGGACAGATGCCTCAGTGCTGTGGCACCAGCCCTAAGCCCACCTGGCCTGGCTGTGGCAGGCATGGATGAGGAGGGAAGGCCAGGCCTGCCCTCAGCACCTGGAGCCAGGTGGCCTCAGAACCTGGAGAGACTGAGTCCTGGACATGTGGAAGAGGTGGGCCCTCTGGCTCCTCATGCTCCACCCTGGGTGATCTGGACCTGCTCAGCTCACAGCTGTCATGTGACCCTGCACCGACTGGTGATGTAAAGCAGTAGCACCCATCCTCCCCAGCTGCCCTCCACAGATTGGGCTCTGACCTCCAGGTGTGAGTCAGCAAAGGGCAGACCTCTGAGCTCTCAGCCCACCTGTGACCTGACTGCAAGGCCAATGACCCAGAGTGAGACAGCAGGGCACTTCAATGCCCCAGGCTGAGGATGGGAGGCTGGTGCCACAGAGCCGGTCAGTGGACCCCCAGCAGGGGCAGGAGCCAGAGGCCTAGAGATGGCACCACCAGAGTGGTCACAGAGGGAGAGGGGACCTGTCCTGCTGCCCCCTTCTGTTTGCACATTCCTACCTCTGGCTCTCTTCGGCCAAACCCTGGGCAGGAGCTGGCTAACCCTGGAGCCAGAGGTCAGGCCTGTGCCCTGGAAGCCATCCTGGGA